GCATAGTATTCCATTGTGCGAATATACCACAGCTTCTCTAGCCATTCGTTTGTTGATGGTATTCTCACTTAACTTTAGATCAATTGTATTACAAGGTTTTACAGCATAAATTATGCCACAACCCGGGAAAGAGGAAAAGCCTCAATGAGATGGATTGATCCAGTGGCTGAAGACGGTGAGTTTGGTGTCCCATTAGGCAGGATTTAATTCAGTTGCTGAATCAGAGCCAACTCTAGAACACCTAAAAACAACAACAAAAATGTTGCTATGGTGTTAAAAAGATCAAAGTATTCTCTAATTAGTTAAACTTATGTCTATACCAACTGTGAGAAGAAAATGTCCCTATCCATTACTCAAAGGCGTCTATTTGCCTCTGTGATGTTTCCAACGTCAGTTAAAAATGTTAAACATTTACATGGACTTTACAGAGAGGCTGGAGAACTGAAGAATTATACTGTGCTGATAACTGCACCTGTGCTGAGTTCTGGAAATTCTGCAAATTGGCTATTGAACAGTGTAAAAATGTCTTGGCAGGGGAGGCGTCTGATCTCCTCTAACTTTACAAGGCAAGGGAGACCATTATCAGTATCAGCCGCTCAAGGCCAGTTCCTGTGAGGTGAAGGTCAGACACGTCTTCTTTCTCCAACCTTTTTTACCAGTCTGACACCATCCGTCCTTCTACTTCTCTGTTGAGTCTGAGAATTTGTTGCAACAGCAACACAGAAGTCCCAATTACTGTGATTATTAGGGAGATGTTGTTGTTATGTGCTGTTGAGCTGCTTGCAACTCATAGTGACCCTGTGTATAGCAACTCTGAACGCTGCTCCATCCTGAACCAATTTCATTGTCTCCAACATACTTACCCCATTGCCCTAGTTACTGAGTCAATCCATCTCATCCAGGGCCTTCCACCCTTGTGCTGCCCAAAGTGTGTGAGATGGAGCTTCAAAAGTCCTTGCCTCCACCTTCACAAGAGCATGGAAACTGCCATGTCCAGTAACAACCATTTCAAATGGATTGAGAAATG